GCGCCACCCCCCCCCCCCCCCCCCTGTACCCCCCATGGGCACATCCCTGGTGTTAGATATTAAATTGATGTATTGACAATGATCATCTTGAAGAGGATTCTGAATTGAAATGCATGACAAAATGTATGCCATAGGAATCTAGCTTGTAAGCGATTCGGCTGTTTAAAATTCACAAAAATTAGATTACTATTAAAACTGTAGAGATGTGAGTACTGTCTTGTTTTGAATGAAATTTAATGTCACATCGTTTAGATGCACTTGGAGCGATTACAGATGAAGCATAATACCTTTTCCTATTAGCAAATAGAGATTGACATCGACAGTTTAAAATGCAAGATATCAAGTATTTGGCTAGTTTTCATAGGAAATAATATGAATATTCGTTGTCGACTGTAAGTTACCGTATATTTAAACTGAAAATCTTCTAACCAAATAAATATCAACATATCGCATCACTGACTTAATCATGATAGGTCTAGAGCGGCAACAGTTCGATTATCATTTTTAATGTAGTGATTGGTTTACGGTGACCATATACAAATGAAGAATAATGTTGAGATTTGCTAACGAATTAGATTTTAGAATTCACATTTATTCTAAATTTACTATTAGTTTTCTTATATTAACAATAATTTCGGGCAGTGAGAAGCGAAGTTAATTACATGTAAACGTGAGCTCGGCTGTTTCTTAGCAACAAAACAAGCTACATAAAAGAAATCTTCACTGAATGATTAACTAGACTAGCACCAAGCAGTGGCGTAACCAGGATTCGTCAGGTAAAATTCTTCATTCGTTTTTCGAAACTAATGCTGAAATCGTGTTCTATCTCTAAAACGTGCAAATCACTCAACCAAATATTCGACGTTGTATTACGTGCGGTCGTTTTTACCAATTCATTTTATTAAATATTCTTTCGCAACTGATAAATGAAACAAGTACAGTCATAATAGCAGCGACAAGAAATATAACAGTTGGAATTGTCTGTTTCAGTGACATTCAAACAGAGAAAATTTTTCGAAAACGCGTTTAAACGCACAGAGAACGACGAAAAATCGACAAAAGTGGGCATGTTTGGATGGCAATAGAGGCTCCCAATTTTAAGCGAAAAACGCTCATTTTTTCGTTCTAATTGTGCATTCAAACGCGTTTTTAGCTCACAGTTAGGATCCCCGATTGTCATACAAGTCGCCCACTTTTCCTGGACTCTTTTGCTCCTTTTTGTACAATCAAAATGTGGTTTTCCGAATTCTTCTTCGCTTGGGAAATGGTTCAGCATAGAGATCATTACTGTTTAATTTTGAACCTTTCAACATCTGCTTCCGAACTTAAATTCCATTGCATAATGAGGAGAAATTAGTTTTCATTTGTAATGGAAAAATTTTTAGCATCAACTGAAAAAGAATCCAATCGTGCAGTGTTTTATTGTGTCTAGCATTATAAAAGATAATTTTTTTCTAAAAACAACCAGTGGTAGGGCGCACATCCCCGGTGGTTGGGCTGAACCCAATCAGGCCCTATCCTGGTAACACCACTAGTGCCAAGTGAACTAATGTAAATCACCATAGTAATAAGAAAGTTCTCTTACATATATATATGACCGAGAAAAATACTCATAAAGCAAAAGAATATGCGTTAGATAGATGTCAAGAATATAATGAAAAACAAAATCAATGAATATAGAATGACACTATGCTGAGAAAAAAATAATATGCCATACATTACAATATTTTAACAAAACTTCAGCTAATCAGAGTAGATTCAGCGTGGCTTATATTGATATAAAAAAAGTAAAGTGGTTCGACCGGGAAAATCTTCATGGTTTCTATGAAAATACAATTAATTGCTTATGCCAGAGGAGAAAAAATTTAAATGCCTATCTTGCGGGCATGATTTTTTATACAATAAATTACACGAGAATGAGATACTCTACTCACGGCTACTGCAACAAAACAGGCTCGGTTGTAAAATCTTGATCCGTTTTTGTTTATTGCATTTCTTTCAGTTGTATTCTTTTGATTTTCCACTCGGCTAGAAAAATAAAAATGGAATTTTATATTTATGCCCATTAGCTCACTTGTTGAACTATTGCGAAATGAGAAAGATTGTTAGAATTTTTCCCATGTAGAGCTTTCCGTTGAATCTTTCATTAAAATCAACTTTTTCTACATGTCTCAATTTTTCTGGATACTCGTAAACGTGATCTGAACACGGATTTACTCAATATAAATCTAGCTCTTCAGTAAGTAAATCATGTTTCTCAGTTTTTTACAGCAACAAAAAATTGATTCTAATTGGGACTTAGTTTCTGATGACAAACTGCTGAGTATGTTCCAGAGAACGAAATTGTTTGTTCTTAATTTTATTTCAATAGATTTTTTTCCAAAATTTCTTTAGCACCTATATATGTTATGGTAGTTCTCAAAATATTCTACATAATTAAGTTAAAATAAAACGGAAAATAGATGCGGAAACATCGGATTTGCATCCGAATGTTATGTGTACTTCAAAAAAAATTATTATAAAATAGAATAGGTCACTATTCACATAGAAAATAAGGATATTTTTTGCGGTACTCAACAAATTCTTAACGGATTGCTTTCATCTTCGAACTCGACTGAGATATTCATGAGATCATTCTGTGTACAAGATTTCATGACAATTGGATGAGGCTTTCAAAAGTTATCGTGTTAACGGACGGACGGACGGACGCACTGGCCGAATCTAGAATGTACTCATTTCTTGAGTACGCAAAAATGATCTTTTATTCAGTTGCCCCACTCGCACATTCTATTGTTCCACAAGAAAACGACCTCTGGTTGATAAAAGAACTTTTAATATTTTATATTAAAATAACTTTTTTCTAATGATATTGCTTATTAGTTTAATTTATTGTGAAATTTCAAAACTAAGACATACAGATGAATATATATATCTGTATCATTTTTCTGAAACTATTATGTGTATCATGATGAATGAGAGAACAAGGTTATCCTATGATAGTTGTAATCAATAATCAGCTAGAGTAAGGCCAAGCTAAGTGTATAGTAATGATATAGAAAAAAGAAGCTTTTAACGTTAAATACATCAGATTATTTGTATGGATTGAAAAATAGTCGTGCTTACAGGCAGCATTAGAAATAGCTTCAATAATAATAATAATAGTAAAAATAGTGCATAGAAAAGTTTCATTAAATGAAGCTGACAGCAGACGTTCAATCAAAAAGAAATAAGGAAATATTTTGAGAGGAACATGATTTGCTTCATAGATTATGATTGTGCCATTACTACAGGCAGATAAGTAATGTTCTAAGGTAATATTGTTATAAAATTATTTGAGTTTAACCTGAGGAAGAATAAGAAGAAGAAGAAGAATGAACGGAAAGTGTTGACAGAAGCATTTACTTATTTCTTCAGCTTATAACCTTTCTTCTTCTTCTTCTGCTTTTGATTAATACATTTATTATCTAATTCTAACGTAAGAAAGCACAGCAGATGACTTCAAGTTAAAGAAAATATCATTACGAAATAGATTGATTTGTGTTGATTTGTCGAAAGGAGGTCGAGAAGATAAAAAAAAGAAGAGAATAAAGATGTTTGAAAAAAGCCTAATCAATTATATTAACAGAGATTAAATATAATCTTGTTTTGCATGATAAGCGCAATATATATTGTTCTGAACAGGAGATCCGTAACGTAGAATCTGAGAAAGAACATTCACTCTTAATCAAGCATAAGGGTGATCAATGGCGAACAAACTAAAATGACAATAAAATACTGTATGTTCTAAGCGTAAGTAATATGCTTTATGACAAGTGTTACATACCTTTGTGTATGAAAATAAGACTGAGTACTTTTTTTTCTCGACTTTTCTTCATACTGAATCAATCACTGAAAATGATATTTGGAAGTATTCTTTGACGGCATTCAAATGTCTTCTTTTTTTAATAAGCATGATGTGACCTGTTTAATGAGTTGAATTGCCAACAGCAAAATTAGTACTTTTTCTTGTGCTTTACTTTTTATGACTATTCAACCATAGCTATTAAGGGTATGAATTCCAACGGCATGCGCTAAGAAGATGATGAAAAAGCAAATTTAGAAAACACAAACATCTGTTAAGTAAAGCAGCAGTTGCTCAAAAGTCGAGCCGAGTCTTTTATACTTCAATGTTTTCATATAATTAGATAGAGCCCAACGAGTTGTACAGAAATGGCCACAAAAGAGTTAATTTATTCTTTGATCAAGAATTTACCGAAAACTAATTGAAAAAAATGAGGAATGATATTTTTGATCTATGAAAAAAACTTGCTCTTTTTTTAATCTTACAAACTGTGAAGATACTGCGTTTATTATAGAAGCCTGCAAAGCACTGGTTTTCTTACTCAGCATGCGATATGACATATGAAAACATTTATGAATATATGTCTTCATATGTAATCTTTCATGCTGAGTATGGGAGCCAACGTTTTACAGGCTTCTATAATACACAAAGTACTTCACAAGATTTTGCTCCATTCAAAAAAGAGCAAGTTCTTTTTTATAGATGAAAAAGTATTTACCATTTTTTTAAAATAGTTTTCCACAATTCTTCGATCAAAACAAATTTAGACTTTTTTTTATAAAATATATTCTTGTATAATCCTTCTAACTCTATGTGTGAGTCTCATTGATGATCACCTATGCATATGATTTGTGTTTGAATTAGAATAGATTTTAATTTAAGTTTGTTTTTAAAAAGAACAGAGAAAGAGTAGAATGATGGCATTGCGTGAAAGTGCACGATAATATTATTTTTTTGTTTTTATGTTTGAGCAAAAATGAATTAGTTGATATTAATAATTTTTTAAGCAAAATAAAAAAACGAGGGAAAGAACGAGAACAAAAAGAGAGATAGAGAAACAGTGGGAGAGAAGCGAGAAAATGACAGAGCAAAGAAATTGTTTATATTAACGATACACTTACGCTAGAAAAGAGAATAGGATAAATGACAAAAAAAGACTCGAGTTGTAGTTTTATAATGCTTGTTTCTTGACTATTGATCTAAATCGATCAAAAAACTATCATTTACATGTGTACGATAGTAGAAAACAAGAAAATATCAATAATATAATTTACTTTTAGAAGAATATTTTTATTCTTGAACCGCTCAATTTGATTCCTATCAAATATGTCAATTGTGTATCGTGTGATACCATTAGTACTTTTTCTTTTCGTCTATATTGTTGGTCTTATCGGCAATGGACTTTTAATATGTGAGTATATTGAAAACTGTTCAAATAAAAAGAAAATTATCACGCTACTTTTTGTCTATTAATTTAGTTATAGTATTTCGCCAAAAGAATTTACGGACCGTGCCAAACTTACTCGTTGTTAGTTTGGCAATGGGAGACTTTCTATTTGTTTTATTTTGTGTACCATTCGGAGCTGTCGCTTATTCATTGGAATATTATCCGTTTTCAACGTTTTATTGTCGTTTTGAAAATTTTATTATTAATCTTTCGCTTGGTGTTTCTGTGTTTTCTTTATTAGCATTGAGTGCCGATCGTTATAAAATAATTGTTAAACCATTTTCAAGCCATGCTAGTGACCCAGCAAACAAATTGAAAACAATTGTTATATCAATTTGGTTCTTGTCTGTACTTCTTGCTTTGCCAGAAACAATCTATAGTGGTGAGTTACTCAGTACACTAACGAGATTTTTAATCTTGAACGATTAATAATAGATCAGAAAGATCGTTCTTAGACTCTTTAAAAAACACAAGTGCATATTTGCTTCTTCTTAAGATGAAGTCAAGCGATACACTTGAATTGATTGGATAAAATCTTCATTCACATACTAATCATGTTCCAATTAGATTTTTTTTATTTTGTTTTTCTTTGGATTTATTCTACTAGGCATTATCACTGACACAATAACTGAAGCAAATAATAAAACAATTAACTTAGTTTATTGTTGGAGCCCCAATGAAAGCGAATTACTTTCTAATCATAGATTTATGATTTCTCGACAAATCTTACGTTTGATTACTTATTACATAATGCCACTTATATTTGTTTCCATATTTTATATACTTATTGCAAAACGTTTATTTCAAGCCAAGAGTGCCATATTAACACCAATGTCAACACAATCATTTGTAAATGAAATATCGAACGCAAAACGAGGACAAATAAATAGCAAACCAACAAAAACAATATCGAGCAGTACTCTTTCAAATAAAAGTAACCTTCAAGAACAGCGGCGTCAAAATGAAATAATTAGTAGTAATTATAAAAAAAATCTTTCAAAACATTCAATAACACTTGATAATGATGAATTATTAAATTTGCGCGAATCATCATCGTCATCATCGCGAACAGCATCCTTAAGAAATAGTACACAACGCAATAGAGAACCCATATTTAATAGTCCAACTATAAATAATAATAATAATAATAATAATAATAATATAGCTCTTCATACATTATATCGACATGCCAAAGTAAAAAAGCAGCTGCGAGCACGACATAAAGTTGCTAAAACTGTCCTCTTTCTATGCTCAGTCTTTTTTATATGTTGGTTACCAAAGCAAATTCATGATTTATACTGGTAAGCTAAATAATAAAACAAAAGAAGCCACATAGGAAAAATTTTAATTACTTTCTATTGACTAGGTTTATTGGTGTATTGGTTTATTCGGCACCTTGGAATCACTATTGGCAATTTAATAAAACATTAGCACTTATTTTTTCTTATACTTACTCATGTATCAATCCGTTTGCTCTTTATTTTCTTTCAACAACATTCCGTCATTTTTATAAACGTTATTTATTCTTTTGGACAAATACACCATGCTGTTCAAAAGGTCATCTAGCTAATCATATGCAACAACATCGTACTGGTGATAATGTAACGTTTATTGAATATCAACGTAATTCATCTGCAAATAATGTAGCAAATATTTATTGCGATTTAAACCGAATGAAAAATTCAAGTTCTTTTCAACAAAAGCAAAACCTCATGAGAATGAATCAATATTTATCTTCTGATGTACCAAGCACAGAAAATGGTCCTCAAATCAATGGAGCTTCTTATCCATCAGTTACAATAAATCCATGTTAAATAACTTGTGAAAGAAGCAATGTTATGTTGATTTTATGCCGGTGACCATTTTAAACCATCTGTTTTCGATCACAATCATTGCCCTCAATATATAAATATATAGTTATATGTTTGATTGTATGTGTATCTGTCTTGTTTTAGTCTTGTTGTGTCATGGGTAAGTGCTAGTATTGACTGTTGAGAATAGACCTAGCATGAAAACGCTGCTTATCTGCATAATTCTGTAGTATGTCAATTATAAAGGCAGATCAGCCGAGGCAACAAATTTAGCTATCAAAAAACTTTACATAATAAATTAGCAACGTCCACGTGCGGATGAAAATAATGATGTTTCGTAACTATATTTTATTTTATAATTTATTAAAAGTCATATTTTGCTGTCTAATCTATTGTCCTATGTAATAAGTACAATTGTTGAATAAAATAAAATAATACTATGTTTAACTATTTTATAATAAAAGATATTTATAAAAGTGAATTACGTTTAGCGAAATAATTTGACCTGTATTGGTAAAGAAAAACACTAAGCTAGAAGATCTGAAAGCTGAATGGTACACATGTAAAATTAAAATAAACGTAAGTTGACATTTAGTTGCATAGTACAGAGAAACTTTGAATCTATAATTAATAGAAAATATAGTGAATTGAGTTCTCGATCATTTTTGATTACTGTGTTTTAACCAAGACATATGACAATAAAGTTGAAAAAAAATGACAAAGACTTTTACCCAAAAGCTCAACATTAAACTTGAGTGCACTCGATTAGATTATCGAATAAATTCAGTACAGTGTTATTCAGTAATCTGCGGTTTCTTTCCGTAGAGTCAAGCTAACATGTGCACACTGTTCCACATGAAAATTGGATTCAGTTTAGTCAACTTATCAGAGACGGGGGAAATGCCATTATTGAGAGTGGCAGATCTCATTCATAATGTATGGAATGTCTTCGTTTTTTCTCCTGATATATTATAATGGATTTATCATGTTAATCTTCGTATTGTTAAATGTAGAACAAAACAGCTGAAATTATCGATTGCTGAAAGACAGTGATTCCGTGCTGTGATTTCTCTTGTTTGTTTTTTTAGAAAAAGTAAAATGTTTTATACAGTACATGACATTGAGCTACTCATCAAATAAAAATAAGTTATTTTATCATTGTGATGAGATAATACATCCTATCGTGTTTCTCAATGCAACAGTCTAAATCTATTATCTTTTTTTCCATTATTAAACATGTAATTCGTCAAGAGTTTTAATTATCAGTTGAACTTCATGTTGAACCGAATATCTCAAAGTTTCTTATTTGTATTATTATTAATAAACTTATGCACTACGCTGCATAATATCTGTCATAAAGATAAGTCATCTTCGGAAATTAACTATAATTTTTTCATTAAAATGCACAGCTACATTTGTTTTGTTGTTAACCTAGATTTCTACGTTGAGACATTTCAGTTGCGTGAGAGAGAATAAACCATCGGATGTTGTAATTTCGAGATACATACAAATCAGACAAATTCTATTGATTGCTGTATGCCGATGATATTCTTTGCGCTGACGAATAGAAAATGGCTACTTATAAATAACCTTAAGAAATAGATTGTTTTACTTTACTAGCATTATTAGTGTTTTTTCAACACACGCAAATAATTAATATCATATTCCAGGAACATCTCTTCATGTATACCTACTTGAATCACTTCATGAATGGTTTTGTAAACAACACAGAATGTAATTTGCTATTATTAATCGGATTTACTACTTCATATATCTGAAGAAAATAAAGGTGTAATGAGCTTGTTTTTTAAGTTAATTATTTTTTTACAAAGAGTAGGATATTATCTTTCAGCTATTTCTATTTGGATTAGGTAATAGGAAATTGTTGTATCATGCCTCGATAATTTTAAATAGATCGTCGTAGCGATGAATGAGAAGTGTCTCATTGATAGTTTATTGATGTGCGCACTTATGATTGATGATGATTCTTTTATAGTATTGTCAAAAAATGCAAGCAAACACAAGATGAGTCTTCTTTTATAGGGGAAACAATAAAAATAAGATTGAAATTTTAAGTTTCGAGAAAAGTATTCAAAGCACTTATGCAACTATCCGTTGGGATTAATTGGTTTATGCTCGCGATTTCTGCAAGCGCACCGAGTAATAATAACAAACGAAAGTCATATTACCAGTTAACTTGGACAACAACTAAGTTTATTATAGGAGACACTTCAATTGAGTGCTTTTAAATCCCCAAAGTAATGATATGTGTATCATTAACAGATTGCTTTTCGTCGAAACTTCATAAAAAATATTTTCTCCGCAATGAATAATATCAACAATAAAAATGATGCACCATTTGCTTGTTAGTCACGAACATACGTCGCAAAGTGTCAATATTAGTTCATTTAGTATTGGGGGCAGTTTCGTAATATGGTCTCTTTTTTTTATCAAACTTCTCAATATTAGCAGAGAGATCAGTTGCTGATTAAACGGCAGATGAATCTTGCGTATGCGAATCTTATAATATCCGTTTATTCGCCTTTTTATCGGTTCACAGGACTTGAGTTCGATGCAAGTGCGATGTTTGAGTGATGATCATTGATGAAATATCATATTCAACTGATTCACGAATGTAAGAATTTTTTCTGTTCAAGTAAAAATTAATTAAAAAATGACTGTATTTTCATCATTATTTCTCCTCGATCATAATCAATATTTAATGACTTTCAAGTTTCTTTATAATTAATGCTAAAAACTAATCAATTAATTAAAAAATACTATCAAATCATTGATTCTTACTGTGGAGTCATATTTTTTATGATCATAGACGAGACGTTTTCTTTAATTTTTATTAGTGCGCACTTTGTCATGCTGCCTTTCATGTAACATACTTGAAAGAAATTGTCAACATAAATTAATGCGTTGGTTGAATATTTATTTATTTTTACTCTCGCAAATTAATTGTCATTTAGCTTCTGGTGTTGATTACATACCAACAAATTTGCCAATTGGCAAAAAATATATTATAAAACTCAAACATGAAAAAAAAAGACAAAATGATATTGTTTCACATTTAACTATTCTAGTGATGAAACAAAAAACGACTGATAAAAGGCGGAACTCAGGCCTCTCATGAATATGCCAATAGTTGTCTTCCTCGATCTCTCTCTACTTTTATTGACTATCGCTTAGATGGAATTATTCACCTACTCTGTGTAAATATTATAAGAATTGAGCGTTGTATTTAAAAATAACGGTTTGTTCAATCGGGTAGAAAATAATGCCTCGCATGTGTGCCTAATAAGACATATAATATTTATCATAGAAAAACAGTAGCCATTCAGGCACTTCAAGACAACTGAGTTGATTTTCTTTTAATAATAAGACTTCGAAGATATTAAAAACATCAAAAATAGATAGGAGCTTGTGAGCTTTCTTAGCTGACAATCTTCTATTAGACGATTATGAAAATTGAGTTTTATCTTGATACTCAACATCCTTGATAAGTGGTATAAAGCTTGGTTGAAAGTTTTATGACCGTCTAAAGCTCATTAGATTCCTTATAAATAAAATCCTAATTAAAAATGCAAAGTTTTCTTGCAAAACTGCAACGAGGAGGCAATTACACTGGGCTTTTCTTATTAATAATAGATCAATTGAATCTTCGTGTGAATATGGGAAAATATCTCTAGTTGAACTGATGTAATTCGAACACGAATTTATTCATAGAATATTGAATTAACTGTAATTTCAATCAACAAGATAACAGTTTAAGGATAAGTTGCTATCTCAAGTGAATACGATTAGTACTTTTTCCCCCGGGTATAAATGCGCAACTCGTAAAAAGGAGATAGTTGATTACTAACACACATTTTATCGATGATGCATAAAGGTCTATAAGAAATATCAAACTCTTTTTGCGTATTCATGCTTGAGAGCTTGCTAATCGCCTAGTAGTACGACGAATGTTGACAAAGTTATTTCCACCATCATTATCATAGTAAATATTGTGCGTCATTCTACTGGAATGTCACCTAATAAATTGATGACTCATAATTTGATCTATTTCCAACTTTTCTCTTAATACTAAAACGTTTGCTATTGCAACAACAGTTTTCTGTTCGAAATCAATAATTTATATATTTTTGTCTTAACTTTTGCTATTCATTAGAAAATAGCAACGATCAATGTTCATCTGCTAGAATAAAATCTTTTTAGATAATTTCAACAACGAGAAACAGTGCCTATTGAAGTATTATATTCATTGATATATCGGATCTATGGCATATTCAAGAAAAATATTGTGGTTTAGTGAAAAAATTACTATGAGAAATAGCTACATCAGTCAGTGACCTAAATCAAGTTACTTTCATAGCTAATTTTTAGTGAAAACAAAAGATAAAATGTGAGTTTATTTTGATTGTTTTTGTTCTAATACTACCATCAATCAGACCTTCGTCGACATTTATCATGCTATACTCTTCCACGGTGTTTGAAGAATTTTTCAATTACTCATGCCAAATCGAGGTATGCATGCAAGGTAAATCTATGCGTCGCCTGCATCATGTAACAAAATGATTCCATCTAACGTACGAACCTTGAATGAACGAGACGATATATCATTTTTACGTAATCCTGCTGATCTTCGTACAATAACTTTACGATCCTATGATCAATACTCTTTTCATAATATTAGCTCGGCTTTTTGCATAAAAATTCCAACTTATCGTATTATTGAAACAAATTGTCTGGATATACTAAATGACTGTTTGTTTACAACGAATCTTCGTTCCATTCATATTCGCTTATATTTTTCCTTGAAAATCCCTATCATGGATTGGAATTCATTGCATACACTTTCAGTTCTTCAATTATTGAAATCATTGCATCTAACTGTGTATGATCTCGACACAGTGCTCGAAGACAAAGATTGTCAAGTGATCGTAAAAAAGATTGCCAACGCTTACTGATTTCATTTTCTGCTTTCGAAGGCATTGCGGTCCCATTGATGATGGCAATGATTCGTTCGACATTCATCGAAAATCGATTTCGAATTTACATCGTCATATATACAATCTGTTACTTGATCAACAACGTCAGACCATTATAGAAACAGATGGATGTGGCCTAATGGCATGGTTATGATGTAGACTAAACTAAAACCTATATTGATCTGTAATTATCGATGCTATGCGATTTTCCAATGCTTATTTATATATATTCATATATTCGAATATACTTGTAAACCTGCTCATTTAAAGCGAATGAAGAAAGCATAGCATCTTTTTATGGCTCACTCAACTGTTTCTTAAATCTTGCTCATCATTCAGTAAATTCTTTTACAGGCAACCTTTTAGTATCAAGCGCTAATATTCCAACAGGTATTAATCGATTATCAATTTTAATTATTTTTCAATTGACTAATTAAACGTCGTTTTGTTGTGAATTTCAAAATTATCTTTAAAATATTGCAATAAAGTTAGAAAAAATAATCTAATTAATGTTTCAAAATGGATAATTTTCCTGAACTTTCTAGACCTTTCAAGTTTAGCCAGTAACAGTGATTATTAATTTTTAAACTGTAAGAATCGAAATGAAATTTTAAATTTTGACAAAATCTTTATACCTTCAAGGACTAAACTTTCATTTTGAATAGATGCACTTCTCACTTGAGTAAGACGGAAAAGCATAACATATATAGATTATTTCTTAAAACCTAGCCTATATGACGCTTTCAAGGAACGTCATTCGAAGAATAAGAACGTACTAGTGAAAATACGTTCTGAACCTTGTACTAAACGATGAAAGAAAATGTATTGAATCGCTCTTGATTAACAAAATAATGGATACATATCCCTTAAACATACACTGCAGGCTTTTTCAATAGAAAGATATTTTATTTCTAAAATAAAAGCAAAACACGTATGTTTTTAACATTATTTGCAGCTCAGTATTCTAGGCCACTCTTAGAATTACAGAAAGCGTAACAATGCTAATATCTAACGGAATTTAGCATTCATGGTTCTAAAGAGCAAAATTCAGTGAGCATTGATATGGAAGAAAAGATTTACGGAAACGCCCATTTGTTTTTATATTGACTTCGTGCTCGAGGTCTTTACTAGGCTGTTCTACTTCCTATTTCAACAGGCAATCGTACGGGAAAAAAATCATTTCCGAAGAAAACTAATCTCTTTACAAATCTATGAACAAATTATCTGACTTTTGAACAATAGAAATGAGAAAATAGTTATTCAATAATATTTGATAATCACATTTGTTTCAGATTCAATAAACCTAGTGCAATATTCTACGACAAGACAAAATCATTTTTATAAGTTTGACTATCATCCCAGCAGATACTACTGATTGACGTCGAAATAATTATGAATATTAGAATAGTATTGAGTGTGGACGTGGCAGGATGTAGACTCGTACCAATCAAATCCTCACCCTTACTCGCACTTATATTGTTTATTCAAACTGACTTGTACAGCTGCATGCGAACATTCTCGTTTAGACTTCGAGGCGAATATTTATTTTTACATATTTCAGAAAAATCGAAGATTATATAAGTAATTGCAAAAGAATTTTAATTTCCGCTCCAACATATATATTACACTTTATGTTATACTCAATACTGATCAAGTGCAGAATGAATAAATGTTCTTAGTTGGTTGCAAAAAATTTCCGACTGAGAAAATATCTTGAGCGTCAAAATTGATTTTTCATTAGAAGTAACTTATTTTTCTCAAACAAAGCTCATCACATATTATATTCAAGCAAGTGCTCGTGTGTAATACGACTAGTATAAATCACGATATTGGTGATAACTTAGAGAACCGTATAAACGATAATCAAGTCTATAAGAATTTAAGTCAATATTTTGCATTGATCCTCACAATATTTCTTCTTGTTTTATTATTTTTCTTCAATGTTGCTTGTATACAAAGACACACTGTTGTTGAATCTGTCTGTCTTATTTATGATATGCTCAAATTCGATTTAGATTTTTTGGCTACCGCGCTTGGATGATTACTCATTCAAGTTAGCTTCTAAAAAAAATGACTTTTCTTTTCTTTTCTTTTCTTTAGCTATTAATCGAACCATTGTATTTCAATCAATTTTCTTCTTATCGATGAAAAATGAATTTCATCGGCAACCAGACATGAAATATTATTCGTGCATTCTATGTCTACGATAATATCAATCAGATTCTTCTAGTTTTAATTTTAGTCACTTGTTCTTTGGGTCTTCTGTTCTTTATGAAAGGAGCTGAGAATTGCCATTTATAAAAAGAAAAAAGATTAATCCGATAGTAGCTTTTATTCTACGAAACTGACATTGATCTAAAATTATTCTTTGAATTGCAAGCAGATTTAATTGGATGGTCTTGTTGGAATCTTTGTTTCCTCCTTAAAACAATGCCATTACATTCAAATCAGTGGGTACTTCCTAGTATTTCGGTTGTTATTCAGCAGAGACTAAATGCTCTACAATTAATCTGCTATGAATAAAATCACCATCTGTATAATAACAGAAAGAAACCCGTGGTTTCATACTGGTTGTTGGTTTCTTTTGCTTTTGGTATAACATCAAACATTAATAATCTGGTTTCCCGTTTCTTCTTCAAATCAGTTATTCACCATATTAATGTTTGACACTTGTTAGCTATCCCATTAGTGACCTATACATCATTGGATCAATTAATCTTCGTATTATTGACATGTTCATATATCGAGTAAGTCACAAATTATGTCAACATCCATATTATCTTCGTACACTTTACAATCAGATTACAATTGACTAGTTTTTATCGTTTTTAAGCTATCTCCTGACGTTTATCTCACGTCTGCTACCGTGTACCTCAACATCTTTCATATGAATATTACTTACATATCATCTACTCTTTATATACCATAGAAACCATTGACTAATTTCAGTTTCTCATTTAAAAAGAAGACAATGTCGAAAAGACGCATGCTATATATAGAATAGAACAATAGCACAATAACTAATTAAATTCTCCGTTTTTCTTTTAGGAATACTCTTCTATTCCCCTTGAACTTTGATGAAGAACTGAAAATGCGAGCTGAAACTAGACTATATACATACGTTTGTATATATAATGTTCTCAAGAGAGTGAAAGTCATTAATCTAAGATATTGTGCATTGTCGGATGACTGTAAAAAAAGTCTTGTTTGGTGTTCTGGAACAAAGAAAATCGGAAAGAAAACCATCGTAGCTATCTTTTGTATTACTCCCTTTGGTGTAATACATTTGATTACGGTTGATTCTAACATGTTGAAGCTAGAAATTCAAGGATATTTACAAGCGAACAATACTGTTAGTATATCAAATCCGTATTTGAAAAGAAGACAAAATAAAATATGCTATAAAAATAGCTTTAGCATGATAAAAATCAACGACAGTTATTTATAACTAATGATATATTGATACTTTGTTGCCTTTGGTACGTTAACATCTATAATGAAAAACTAGCTTTGATACAGAATTAGATACTCTGCTTCGTTTGCTTATTTGTGATTCCTATCTGACAATCTTACTAACAGTAGCAGGAAGCTAAGTACTCAGTGCGAGTTGCTTTTTCTATATCAATCGTAATTAGTTCGATTATCACACAATATGGAAGTAAATAAAACACTACAACTCCACACCCTTACCGACTGAGCTCAACATTATTCAGTTCTAGTGATTATCTATCCAAGTCTTCCCGCGTCAGTACTCTTCTATGAAATACCTACGCCAGGTCGGTATTGATTCTCCGGATAGCTGAAAATTTTCTTTTTCTCCGGGTTCGCTCTTGTCTATATATTCTACAACAATAGAAGAAGAAAAAGCATAGTTAGAGAGAGAAATAATATGCTATAAAAATGAGAGAGGCAAAGAAGAAACAAATTCAATCAGAAAAAACAGCGAGAACGAGAATATTTCCCATTAGAACTACTACTGATAAGGATAATGACATGGGACTTACAATAGAAGAGAAGTATATCGTTTTGTTTTATTTTGCCATTTTATATATGATGATTAATAATGAGAGAAGAAGTATAGCCAGTGTTTTATCCAGGATTTCTGGATGTGTTAGATCTCAACTTCGGAGCATGAGACCTAAATGGAACTTATGGGAGGCCATATTGGAGCTCAATGATGAGGTTTTATGGAAAAAAAAATTGTCATTGGAGTTTGCTAAAACAAAATAATTTTTTTCGTTGCCCTCTCGGCAAAATTCTTTTAACCTTTCGTAGTATTCCACTTTTTAGAATTTCATAGTAAGCTACATCGAATTGCATCGACAGATTTCAAATTTCACCGAAAAATAGGCATCCGTTCAGGAGTTATAATATTTTCAGATTTTTCAAATGTGCTGCAATAATTTTAGCAAAACTTGAACATATTATAACTCCTGAACGGATGCCTATTTTTCGATAAAATTTGAAATCTGTCGTTGAAATTCTAAAAAGTGGAATACTATGAAAGGTTAAAAAAATTTTCTAGAGGGCAACTAAAAAAATTATTTTGTTTTCTCAAACTTCAATGACAAAATGTTTTTCATAAAACCTCACCATTGAGCTCCAATATGACCCCCCATCAGTTTCATTTAGGTCCCATGCTCCGAAGCTGAGATCTAACATATCCAGAAATGCTGGATAAAACGCTGAGTATAACAATGATATAAGTGGATATATCTTTGCGATTCAACAATGTCTTCTAGCATAGAATAAACTTTATGATTATTATGTCAATTATCTATGTATTTAGTTTTATTTTGTTGTCCAAGACAAACGTAATGATCTGTCATCTGGTCTTCTTTTGATTTTGCTCTAGATACTATACATATATATGTTGCAAAACACACTAGAATTGACAGTGAAACTTTCTCTGTTGTGTTAAATTAATATTAATAAGTGCGTATTCGTATTCAAATAGCACATACGTATATCAACCAGGTAGTAAAAACAAAACGCTAAAACATGTTTTCTATTTTACTATTCTTTTGTTGTACCTTACAATGGGAACCAAAAGAAATAATGAAAAAACTTGTTAACTAGCCACTTCGTATTAGTAAAAATAGAACACCACTTGCATTAATGTCACCTTGTGTTCTAGACGAATATTTGCGGAATAAAAATAATCATAATGATCAAGACACTTATTTTTTTCCGTTTGTTGCAATTTAAATTGAATTTTATGTTTCATGATTACTGTCAGCGTCTACTTTTTTTCTCCCCTCTGTCAGTCTTTTCAGTCGATTCTTTTATGTGCTTCATTCAAGAAACACATCTCCCAGGTAAAAGGAAATCAAAGTAGGTATAATGTCTCAATGTGCAGAGTTTTGTCTAACTTTTTGTTAATATGTTTCTGTTGAGCTCATAGTCGCATTATATATATATATATATAGCGGTCATTATTTCAGTAGAAATCGACCGAGAAACAGAGAGAAAGAAATTGTGTGTAAACAGGCGTTCCTTTGATTCCCTGACATTTTTTTCCTTTCGTCAGCATATAAGGCGCTAGAATTTGCGTTTTTTTTAATATGATCCTCTTCTCAACGTAACTAATGAGACTTTTACGATTTGTCACTAATATAAACTGTAGCCTATGTTTATAGAAAAACAAAGCATATCATGACAACATCTTGTACATTAAATGAATTTGAATTACTTGAAGGCACAACAACACAAAATTTATTTATTCATTTGACACCAATCATAATTTGCGTTGGATTACTGGGCAATATTCTAACTATCTATGTTTTCATTATAACAGATCTTAAACGACAATCTGTGTCAATATTAACTATTGCTCTAGCCATTGTTGATTCATTAGTACTTCTTGTACCTGTCTTATTTTTATGGCTTGAGAATCTATTAAAACGCGAACTTACGGATGCATCACCATTTTGGTGTCGGACACATGGTAATATCATTTTTTTCATGGTGTCAGTCATTACAGTTCGATGAATATTTTTATGACTTTTAGGATTTTTCGATTTAACTTTTACATGTTGTTCAAGTTGGCTGATGATTTGTATTGCATTTGAACGTTTTTGTGCTGTTTGGTTTCCTCATCGCCATAAAGTTTCATTTACTCATCGAAAAATATTTTTTCTTGTCCTCGGAATTCTTTTTTCGGCAACAATAATATCAACATGGTTTATATTTGTTGTTAAAATGATTTTAAAAACTCGACCAGCAAACATAATACAACATACATCTACGTTGTCATTAAAAAGTCCTCTAAAGTTTGTATATCTGCGTTAGTTCGCAAAAGTTTTTCTAGCATTGCGACTTTGTTTTAGAAATACTTCAGAAAATTTTAGTTTTTCGCCACCACGGCAAATTCCATTTGGCAATCAATCATTAGTTAGCTATTTTAAATGTGATGTCTATGATGATAACCTCTATGATTCCATGGGAATGGTATCTGTTGTATTAAATTATTTTCTGCCTTTTATTTTTGTATTATTATTAAATTCAACTATAATTTATCGGTTATGCAATCGTGGCATCGTCGAGTTAACATCATCGATAACAGTAACATTAATACTCGTCTGCCTTGTTCATCTATTTTGTACACTGCCGTTTCAATGTTGGTGGATCTATTATGAAATTCCTGATCAAACCGGCGATTGTCTCTGGTTAAAAAATAAACTAACATGGCGTACTATAACATTTACAATAAGAAATATAAATTATATGGCAAATTTTTTTCTTTATTCATGTTCATCGGCACTGTTTCGGTATGAATTAAAAGGTTTAATTTTATTATGGTTATTACCACATGAAAGATATCAAAGTTATCGTTATCGAAGACAATCACTATATGATAATATACAACAAAATGTATCACTGGTTCGTCTTATTATGAGAAGATTAAGTCGGACACCTGAATATCTGAATGACGGAGTTATTGCTAATCACGTAGGTGGTGCAGGTGTTGATGATGATCATGTTGCCAACATTTAGAACAATAAATAGAGAAGAAGCAAAATCACACCGTTTGAAAAATGCACACATTCCTAATTTGTATGCACATATTGATTCAAAAATAAATAAATATATATATATATATATTTACATATATTTTTTGAATAAAAAAAACAGACCTAAGAGTTAATAGAGTGAGTGACTCTATTTGCGTTTCATCTGATCGTATAATGTGATGATTTTTTTTATTTTTATTACTGGCAATTCTGTAAGGAATTAAAAAAAATGTCATCTAGGACTCTCGTGCATACGGCAATAAAGTGAGCATCGGGTGAGAAAAGAAAAAGAAAAATTTGACCTTGGCAGAAATATTATTTTTTTGTTTCTAATATGATTATTTTTATTGAATAAATCAATTGAACAATATTCATGCTTTATATTTCGTACATAATAAATAAGTGTGATGTCTGTAGGAACATAATAGAGATGTATTATGAAATTGATATGATAGAAATGTGCTCCATTTCAATGTTGATGAAATCATTTGCATAGAAAAATAGACACAACAGCTAAACAGCCGTTGTTTGTCTTCTAAAAAATCTGTTAATATGACATGTTTCATAAGCTATGAAACTTAATTACAAAAAAAAGAACATTAATCTATCTGCAGACATTTTATGACTTCGACATGGATTCGTACGAGCATTTTATGATGAAAGGAAAAGAAAAGAAAAGAAAAGAAAAAAAAAGAAAAGAAAAACAATCCATTTAGCTGATTTAAGTTGCAAGTTGATTTGATTAAAAATGTCAGTTAATTATCATAAGGCTATTCGTGCTTAGACTGATTTAGTCAAGTACTTTCAAAATTTCAGCAATCATTTTTACCTGTTTAGAGTTGAGTACTTATTCAATAAAGTCAATCTATTGTACTTTCTAAAATGTACAAAATATGTGAATTGCTTTCTGAGTTTTTATTTCCTGTTTCGACGATTCCAATACTATTTCCTTCTCATAAGCATTTATTTATAAACCATTCCTAAACCATTTAGTTAAACAATACACCGGATTGGCAATTTAAAATAAAGGACAAGCGTGAGTGGCCTGTAAAATTCAGATTTACTGTGTCTTTTTCTCGCTCCTCATTGAATAAGAAGTGTTCCGTATAGTTCCATTTATTTTCAACTGATTGTTGAAGCAAAAGTGTAAGTAATCATCTAATGAAAAACTCGTGATAAATCTCTAGTAAACGTTCACGGATCATTAACGAGTGACGGAGAATAAATTTTTACAAAATCATTTTTTAACGTTATTCCGACAGGCTTTCAGGCAGTGAAGAGAAGAGAATTTTGCATTCTACATTCCGACGCGTTTTTAGGACACATCGTGCTGTCGTTCAAGCGAAGCAATTTGAAGCTGCACCCTATTGGTATTCTCTGCGTATGTTGTAAAAAAAAACAAATCTGTCTACTAAATTGAGATTTAATTTATCTAACAGTCATTCTAGAACTGTCACATTTAGAATCCAATTCAAAATAATATGGCATGTCCGTTAAGTAGCTCAAGAGTATGAATGCCAAATTTTTATCGAATAAAAAGAAACAATAAAAAGATTCTGCCAGACAATACTTTTTTGTACTTATTTACTTTAAGACTAGTGGCGTAAACATTTCATCTAAAAATTCTGAACCAAGCATCAGAAGAAGAATATTTAATATTCACATAAATCATTTTCCCGATTTTCACTACAGTTATAATTAAATAATTGCGTGCATTTTCTTTCATACTTCTGATACGTATGAAAAACAAAGGGAATCTATTCTATGAATTTCCTTAAGTATATTTGAGCGAATAAAACAAAACAAAACTGATACTATCTCGTTTAATATGCGCTACTCACATTCACCTTACAAAACATATTCAAGTAAATAAATTTCGTTGGTTGATTATCACAAATTGATTGGTGTATTTATTATTCTAGTATTCTAATAAGAAAATGTATCAATCATAATATACTGTTTGACATGTCAACATGCGCATTCAACAAAATATAAATGTATGTGTAGGTACATTTATTTAGACACAATTGTTTGTTTATATATAACTTAATTTCCATGGAGGTTTAGAACTTATGAAACATTATAATTATATATATTTCGATACTCTTCTATCGTCATTCATCAATTTTATAAAATGTTAGAACAAAAGAGAATCATAGACAAAATTATGACTTGTTGAATAATATTTTTTGATACATGAAATATATCAATTTATCCGAGTACAACGCAATCGAGCTTAAACTACGCACATGTATTTTATTGTGTAGAAAACTATGAAGATAAATAGTAAACAAGCCAAAATCTATCATCAATCAAAAATAAGAGTAATTTATTTTTATTTCCAAACGAAATAACTATCTGCCAACGGATACAACATTGAAAAGATATTCCTATCATTCGTATAGTAATTCTACCATTAATCTTCTTATAGCGGTAATTTGTTGTTACGTCAAAATAACTCTTCTTATGAGATTTTAAAAAAAGAAACAAATATACTTATATATATATATATATTTATTCTTGGATAATATTTATATTTTAGACAAGCGTCTTATAAATTATTTTTTTTTTCACTATAGATGTACTACACATCCTTGTTCAATGAAAGCGATATTATGTTCAGCTTATCATCATTTCAGAAATTAAAAAAAAATAAATAATTATCCGCATGAACCTCCACCACAGCCAGCTGCCTTCAATAATGTTGCTTCAGATTCTTTTGTTACACTTAATACAGTAAATTCTTCAGCGGCTGTTGGATGAATACCAACAAGTTCATCGAATTGTTGTTTTGTTGCGCCCATCATAACAGCTAATGCATAACCTTGCACGACTTCACCGGCATTAGGTCCCATGAAATGAAGTCCAACTACTTTATCATTTTGACTTTTATCGCATATTAATTTCGCTAAACAATTGGCTTTATAAAATACTTCGGCCTTTTCTAATTGTTGTTCTTCTTGCAATTGTAACTGTTCGCCTGTAACACCTTGAATAACTGTTTTCTCTTCATTTTGAATTTCAATATCATATGTGATTTTATTATTAGCTTGTTCATTACGATATTTATTTATAATACGTGCACCGGCATTTTTTTGACTATTGACTTCTCCATTGTATATAACATAATTTGCACTTTCTAAATCATAGGTTACTTCAGGCCAATCCGCATTATTTTTCAATGCATATTGATGTGCCCATGTATTGTTTCCTGTGAAACATTCACTTTGTGGTTTTTTTATATGTGGATGTATTGGAGAAATTTCAATGTTGCCAAATCGTGACCAATAAATTCGAACATTTTCTGCGCCAATACCTCCATCTAGAAAAAACAAAGAGTCAAAAATTCATTTTTAGTTTCTTTGCTATTATAAATAAACCTTCTTGTGATCGCATTGCTTGTTCTTCGTGAAGACCAACAAAACTATATTCAGATGGGCTTGTAAATACAGTTGATGGAATCGTTCGATAATTCATCAACTGATTTGATAGATTCCATAGACGTCGTGCTAAATATTGTCCAGCTTGAATAGCAACAGGAGTTAATTCAGGTCGGTCAACAGTAACTCGAGCTTGATGCGCTAGATCTTTGCCATGTTTAATAACGCCTAAAAAAATGTTTAAATAAAACATTCAACTTATTATTTTCGGAAAAAAACTATTTTTCATGAAATCAGACATAAAGAGATTCAAAAAAAAATGATCTTGGTAAGCTGGCTTGATCCATTTATACACTGGATGACGCAAATGAATTACAAAGTAATTCAGAAGAAATGAATTACAATATAATTCAGAGCTAAAACTAAATTTCTACAGATATCTACCAGGGTCTACATGTATCTACCAGGGTCTACACGTATTTACCAGGGTCTACAGCTATTTACCGGAGGGTGTGGGTGCCACGAAAGGGTGAAAACAACGTGTACACACATACATAACATCTTAACTGTGGGTGCCACGATAGGCTGAAAATCAATCAGTTACCATGATTGAAAATCGTGCCCTCACAGATACCTACCGTGACCGTGATCATTACCGTGACCCTTCGATCTACCCATTTATCTATTTATCTACGTATCTATCTATCTACCTACCTACCTATCTATCTATCTAATTTATATGTGGATAGGTGACAGTTTTTTTTGGAAAATCCCAATGATACTATCACTAAGATTTGTCATGCACTCGTCTATGAATATCGTGAGGATTGGGTGCTATGCATGAAGAAAACATTCTCATTCACAACCACACCTACACCCTCGTAGACACTGGTAGACCTTCTAGACCCTGGTAGATACATGTAGATCCTGGTAAATATAGTTAGAATAGGCGAAGGTTTGATGGAATTTTGAATTACTTTATAATTCATTTACGTCATGCACTCCATTTATATTAAAATTCAAATATTTTGAATGAATACGTTTCTTAAATCTCAGATAAGAAGGTTATCTTCATGATGTTATTTAGGATTTTCATAGAAACTTGTAGTGATGTATTTAAAAGATTATCTCATCAGCTTCTATTAAATATGAAAAGAATAATTAAGAAAGTAATTATTTATCTAAAAATAACGTGATCCTACTACACTAGCAATTAATTAGACTTTTTTTCTAGAGCTACAAGAGACAGACTTTTTGTTTTTTGGAAACTAAATTTTTTTTACCAGTTGCTACATCTCCCAAAGCATAAATATGCGGTAAATTTGTTTGTTCTCGTTCGTCGACAAGAACTTTGCCATTGACAACATGTACACCAATTGTATCAAGACCAAGGTCAGCAATATTAGCTGTTCTTCCAATAGCCAATAAAACTAGTCGCAAAAGAAAAATCGAGTATATTATATTAATCAAATTCTAAACAATATTATACTTGTATCATAAGTTTCAGAATGTATTTTTCCTTTACGTTGATCAGCATATTCGTATTTAACTTCAATGTCTCCTTTTGGATGAATCCATGTTATTTTACCATCGGGATGTTGCACTTCAATAGCTCCAGATTCATGTAGATACTGATTGTTTCCTTTAGCATCTTTACCATGTTCCCAAACACCAGGCCGACATTCTTTTGCATTTGCTAATTTATCTGGTTTTTGCGTTGCTGAAAATGAACGAGGATTAGCAGGCATTATAAATCTTAATCCATCACGTTCCATTAATTCACATATCATTTCACCGCATTGATGATCCATGGTACGTAACGGTCTTGAACGAATCATAACCGTTACATCATTACCAATATGATGAAGAAATGACGCACATTCTAATGCAATATATGCCGCACCAATAATAAGAGTTTTACCGGGATTCTTTTTCAGCCAAAATATATCATCCGAACTAATACATAATTCTCGACCAGGAAAATTACCGTACGATGGACGACCACCAGTTGCAATAATTGCTTGATTAAACGTTACACGGCCGCTTTTTGTTAAGCTCTGTAAGAAAGGAAAAGAAATCAAATTTGGACTGTTTTTATTTTCTTAAATATTATCTACCTTCCATTCAATTGTATGTGGATCAATAAACTGAGCTAGACCATCTAAATATGTTACATTAGCTGAGCGAAGTTGAACTTTGTAAGAAAAGTTCAGTGATTTTATATAGTTTCCAATCATGGATTGCATTGTCGACCAATCGTGTTTGCCATTGTCAACATTTTGCCAGCCAAATTCAGCAGCATCACGATGAAGTACATTACCAATTGAACCAGCATAGTGCATCAACTTTTTTGGAATACACTTTTAAAAGAAGAATTCAATTATATTTACTTAATGAAAAAAACTTTGATACTTACACCAACATTAACACATGTACCTAGGAAAACAAAAGATTATATGAACCATACTCAGAAAAAATAGAAGCTATTATTTACCGCCTAGACCCCATTTTGTTCCGTGATATGTTGGAGTAACAAAATCGAAGCAAGCTACCTTCAAATGAAAATTCTATATATAATTTCATAATTAGTAAAAAAAATTACTTTAGCATTTTTATTTAACTTTGCTGCTTCTTTTGCTGCTGCCAAACCTAATTATAATAGTCAAAAAAAGAAGACACCACTTACAAATTCTATTTGAATATTCTTGTTAGTTCTTTTGTTTTTTACCTCCAGAACCACCACCAACAACAACCAGATCATAATCATAGATTGGCAGATTTTGTGGAGCATATGACTTCGTTTTACTAGATGATGATCTAGATGATGAAGGTCGTTGATTATTTTCAGATGTTGATTGCATTCTGGAAAAACAAGGTGCAGGTACAAAACGAACTTTTGTTTTAATGACACGCAGAGCACTTAACATGCAGTGATCTAGTATAAATTCTTTTTCTTTTCTAAGATCTGAAAGGTAAAAAGAACTTCGTATTATAGACAAATTTCTAAGTGGCGATAAATAAAACAAGCGCTTTATTACAGAAAGAAAATTCAATTAGAAGACAGAAATAGCCGTTTCTGCTTGCGTGATTATATTCTTCCTTAAATAACAAAAGACAACTGTTGTAAATAGATCATGTAGGAAAAAGAATGAGTCTTCTATTTTTCTAGATGCTTTATGTAATCTACGCATGTCAATCAGATCTTCTCAGCTTCTCAAATTGTCTATCAACAATGAAAGTATCTTTCTGACATCATTAACCGTGATTAATTCTATTGAAATGCTATCTTGACTTAAGTACAAATTCTTCTCGTTTACTCATCTATACTACCATCTATAAAGACAATAAAACAGTCATTAAAAAAAACATGCATCGTCATTGTTTCACTTTTCTTCCTTTTTTTTTTTATTCAAAGAAACAGAAAAAAAATAGCAAATATAACCAATAAGCAAAATTTTCATACACCCATCATTCAAACGACTTCTTTCATCTTAGCGAGTATTGCTGTTTCCACGAAATAATGATTGATAACGAGAATCCGTTCTAATACGTTCAATTTCACGTTGTAAATCAATTTGTGCTTGAGGACAATCTTTAAGATTCATAACTTTATATATTAAATAAAATAATGAATAAAACCCGAATAACATAATTCCCAAAAATGGAACAACAAGAATAATTCGATATAAAAATGTTGGTAAACTAATTGGAAATAGATTCAATGCAATGAGTGTCCAAAGAAGGAGTACACCCATACAAATTGGTAAAATTGTTTTTGGATTCATTATCTACAATGAGAAGGGTTTGTTTATTTTGTTTTTGTTTTTATTTTCAATAAACAAGCGCATAGCATCAAAGTTATTGTTATGTTTTCCGAATGATAACAGAACTAGAAAGAAAAAAAGATCTTTTTTAAACATTTTAGAATTGACAATAACAACAACAACAACAACAACAACAACAACATCAACAACAACAACAGGAAAGAAAAAACAGAACAAAGCAGAAGAGATGTGTAAACTATCAAACTGTTCAATGGTTTAACGGAAAGGGAAAAAGAAAAGAAAATAAAATATATTATATATATATATATAAATATTTTTGGCAAATTGTTTTGCTTAAGTCAACAAAATAAAATAAGAATAAATAAACTAATAAGATTTTTATATCCATGATTCAACAAAATCCTCAAGTACACTTGTTTCAATTTCACTCATAGTTTCTTCTTTAACCGAATTCATTGTTGTTGATTCAGATTTTCTATATGATGATGCATGCGTTAATGATTTATTTTTCTTCTTTGATGATTCTTTCTTTTTCAGTATGGGCATTTGTTTATTTAACGTATGCGTATGCGTTGGCAGTGTGTGCTGATAATGATGATGATCATATGTATGCATTTGTGTTAAACAATTAAAAAATGGATATAATTCAATTATATTTGTTATTGTACGTAAACGAAGTAATGGACGATTTATATTTTTTATTATTGGAATACGATCATGCATTGAAGTCGACATTGATTGTAGTTTTCTTTCAAGTAACTTTGATAAACGTATTGAAAAGGCAATGAATGTATCAATAGGAGATTTTCTGTCGTTTGCATCTTCATCAGTAACAAATGCAGACCGAAAACTAGAAAGAAAACAAATGTTAGTAGAATTTGTATGCATTGAAAAACAATTGTATTGCTAGTCAACTCGGGATGATTTTATATTGTCAATTTAAAGATTTCTTTCTTTAGTATTCTAGAAATGAATATTTTTTGATTATCGAGTTGTGTAAGAATTTACTTTAATTTTATATTTCTTAATGAGTCTTAGCTACTATTCTTATTTTGTTTTTATGGTGTAACGCATGATTGGTTATACTCATTAGTTAAACCTATATTTAGCTTTGATTGGAGCTAAAATATATGAAAGAGTACAGATCTGTTACAGCATTTTGAAAAAAAATGTTGCGAGTACTTCTAAAGATAGATGCCCATACTTCATCTATTAATTGCTTAGAGGTCAAGTAAATTAATATATTCTCAAAATAATGAGTTGCGTCTATTCTGTAGATGAATTTAATGCAATATAAAAAGTTAAGAAGAAAATTGTTGGTTCAAAAAAACAAATTTTATTTTCTCAAATATTAAGTGTTTGTTGTGACCTAAGAGAAGTTTACTTACAGTTGAAAATGATATAATTCCGAATAGGGCATAGCCAATAATACGTCGAGTAATTTACATGCATATAAATACATTTTTAAAGCAGGATTTGAGCCAGTTGAAGTACTTGCTACATTGGTAGTAGCCAAATCATTAGTTACTAATCGCTGTACATGAGATCTATAAAAAATAAAAAGAACATGAATTATTAGTGTGTTTTAATATTGATAAATCATTCGCTTACTTGGCGTCTCCATCAAGATCCGAGATGAGATCTTGTTCTAGTTGTAATAAAACTTGTATAAGTTCAGTCATAAGTATAGGCCATAATGAAATCAAATTTTTCGTCGATATTTTCAATAGAAGTACACGCAAAAATAGAAACATTTGTGTATGCAATATTGGCACTTGAGGTAATTTAAGTAGATCAGCAATACGTTCAAGTATTTCAGGTAATTGTCGATTATATTGATCTTTTTCTGATGCATATATAACAAATGCAAAACGTTTAACAAGCATAGCACGCTGTTCATATTCATGTTCTTTTGATACAAATAAACCGGTTTGGACAGTATTGATTTTTGTCATAACATCGCGAAATGATGTTGGTCGTTCGTTTGTTATCATATTATCAACAATTATTTTCCATGAACGTAATGCAGTTATGTCAAGTTGAAAAAATGCTACGTCGAATAATTGTTCAAATGCCTCTTTTTTCCATGATTTTCGTGTATAAGAATATTGTGATATGTTCATAAGTAAAGCTGATGCTGAACGATACGATGGAGCATTGGCAGCAACATGTGTACGTACATATGGCATAACATTTGTAACGAGATTTTGTAGAAATGGTAATACAACACGATCTTTTTCGTCTGTTCGATTATAGACTATGTCGAGCAATGTTGCAGCATGTTCAGCAAGAACTGACAGTGCAAGAAAACTATAATTTCCATTGTTTACAAAGTCACCTGTGTTAATGGCTTGAGATACACCTAATTTAATGGCAAAAAAAGGAGAAATTTAGCTGATGAAAATAGAAAGGAATGTATTTAAAATATTATAAATCATTAGTTACATTTATTTTTTTTATTCTTGATTAATAGCAACTGAGAAAATCAGTTATGAAATGGATTTTGTTTTTGCATTCGAAAGGATTTTAATAATTAGTTAAAGATGAGAGTGTGCAAAACTGCGTGATGAAACGGTTTGAAAAAAAAAGGAAATATTCTTACCGTATGTGAATATTACAATGAGATCTATCATTCGTTTTTCAAAGGAATCAGATTGAGACAAATCATCTTGATAGCCACAATATAATATGCCAGCAGTTAAGCAGATATTGAATGTAGCAATTTACAACACCTCATAGCGGACTTCAACTCAAAGACGTACGTGTTTCTTTAGTTGGTTTTAGCTTTGCACAAAAGCAGCATATTATATAGATAGATCTGGAAATTATTACCGATTAGCAATAATCATATAAAACCAAATTTTCTGCGTATTATTAAAACAGTGTATTTAACACTCAAACAAAATGATTCGATTAGTCACATAAGATTAGCTCATAGCAAATACCTCTTAAAGTCATATTCAAAACAGTTTGTGGCACAATTTTAGCTGAAAATTTGTCGATCATGTTAACCACTGTCGACAGTGTATTACGTGCTAAATCTTCATTGAAAAGTGAAAATATTCTTATTCGTGCCATTTTTTGTTTTCTTAAATATTATTGATATCAATTTTACTCACCATCAAAATCAGAAGTATCATCAACAGGAACACTTCCACTCTCATGCAAAGAACCAGGTCCTATCGATGTTGTCTGACCTCCAGTTGAACTACTTTTTATGGATTGAGCATCAGGTTGAGCAACACGTACTTGTAAATTTTTTCTTAACCATGTTGTTTGTTCCAGTGATGAAGCAACAATTGTATTACAATTATCAAGTACTCTCATTGTTATATCCTATGAAGAAAATAAAAATAATGACATTCTTTTTCGTCTTTCAAAATTCGTACTTGTAGATCTTTTAAATCTCGGCGTTCAACAAGTGACGGTGATTGTTTTATATAGAAACTTAAAATTCTATAACAAAAACAAAACAAAACAACAAAAGTAGCTAGTTGATAGTGAGAGATTCTATATTTCTCTAATACCGTATTATTAAGAATGTAGCAGGTGATGATATTGATTGTGATAAACATTCTTTAAACATAAATGCTAATGATGGCCAGCAATCGACAGATACACTTTTTTGATGTTGCATATATGCTAATAGAAATTGTAAACACCATACGTCATAATTTTGTTTTTTCTAAAATATATTATTTAAATCATTATTATTTAATATTAAAAATGAACAAAAAAAACTGATATTCGTATGTAAGGTGAAGCTCGAAAAATAATTATTTATAAAACCGATAAGAAGATGAGATTAAATGAAAAAAGAAATAGATATACCCTTCTGTTATGTTCAACTTTCATATTATAAAGTGCCGATAACTGTAAAAACTAGTCCAAAGAAGAACTTCGCTTATCTAATAGTTTTCCTTTAAAATTTACCTTATCTCTGGCTGTTAATTGATTTCGTATCAGTTCATTCATATTTGGTATCATGTCATTGAGTGTATATCCATTAATGTTCATAACAATTTCAATGAGTGCTTGTGCTTCACCGATATTATCTCTAGGCATTGTCAGTATTGTCGTACGTGATGATGTGTCTAATGTTGATGTTGTATTACTTCTTTGTTGTGTTCGTTGTTGACGTTTACGTTCGCCCCAACATTGTGCAACGGCACTGAGAAATGCTACACCATTAGATTTTGTTAATGATGAAAGATAATCAAGAATTGTTTGGCGAATTTGTTTAACACTATATTGTGGCCAAAGATTATTTAGTGATTGATGAATTGGAAGTAGATTCGATGCTGTTTGATCATTTGCATTATCAAATAAATATTGTTCGGATATGGTTTTCCATATAAATAGAATACTTGACAGGATTGATGGAAATTGATTGACAATAGATTGACGTGCATCGGACAAATCACGTTCATTTATTGTTAACTGAAACATTTTGAAAGAAAAATAGAATTTAAAATTCATATGTACAGATTAACTTACTGCTTTCATCCAATGTTGTGGACTAAGTGTTTGATTGGGAAAATGTCCATTATCAATAATATTACCAAGTAGACAATAATTACATATATATGAAAGGCGTTGAATTAAATGAATAACATAATCGAATACATCAAAATACGGTAATTGCCTAAAAGAAAGAAATTGTTGTTGAATTTTTCATTTTATTTAAAAATGTTTGGATGAAGTTAATCGTCTCTGATGAGACATTTTTTGTTCAAATAATAAGCTATTATCAATTTGGAACAATTTTAAAATGATAGAGAAAATAAAATGTCATATATTTTAAATTACACAGTTATTATACGGTATTAAACTAAAGTTTGTATATGCGAGCTGATTCATGATTAGCTTTTAGACAAATTTTTTCTTATAGATCATGAAAAGAAAGTTAAAGTAGTTTAAGAAAACAAATACAACAGATTCTTTAAATTTTAATCATTGAACCAGTTTTATTTATACGCTTCAAATTCTTCGTTTCATGCAAATTTCCGTTAGTTGTTATATCGATGCGAAAATGAAATCATTTTTATGTTTTCATTGTTCGTTCTACCAATTTGATAATAGACTTAGATACAAATCGATGCAACTTCTCGGTATTCTTTGTAATCAATGTCGATTGAAATATTTCATAGAAATCCAGATCTTGTTTTTTTCTTCATTTATCCCTGATTAATGATCAAAATAGATTATCTCCTTTTGATGACATATGAATATGGCTATGATTAATCTTCAAATTAGGGCATATAGAATATTTACGTCTACAGGGAAGACTTTCTGCAATTCCTAACGCTCCAAGCTATTTCACCGAGCAAACATCGACAAAATCAATACTTCTCTAAGCAAATATGCTTCATGTTATCTTTACAATCATCGAAAAAAAAGCCAGACGGCACCATATCAGATTCTTCTTTGACTTTTCCAGGGCCCAATTACATGTGTAAACAAGAGATATGTTGAATGACCTTGTTCAAATCAAATTTACTTTAGTATGACGTAGGTAAACAATAGATAAGCTCACTCCTTCTGTCAATCATTTTAATGAATTAGCAAACAAAGATCCAATTAGTATTTGATTGAAAGTTTTAGAAAACCAAAATTTTATTACATACTTGAATTTCATTTTATTGCCTTGTTGTTGTTGATGATATGTTTGAACAATAAAACATAAATTTCGACAGATTTGTTCAATAACTAAACTACTTATTGATTTCAAGGATGATCCACAATGTGGTAATATTCGAACAACTAAACTTATGATATGGCGATGATTTTCAATGAAATCAATCTGCTTTAAATATTGCAATATTGACGAAAGAAAAAGACTTTGATTCACAATCGGTTGATTATCAATATAACGTAATGGGTTTGCTGTTGAATTCATTTGGTTAGATTTTGTTATTAGATTAATAAAATCAATTTCAGAATGATTACGAAATTGAAATAGTGATATATTTGAATAATCATTGGCTGTTAATTGTACACTATTCGATGTAACCGATGCAAGAATATTTGATGCAAACGTTTGTAGTGTACTTTGATTAGAACTGTTATCGAAACGTTGTTGATAATAACGAAGAATATTTTCCAATAAAATAATTTCTTCTAATAGTTCAACTAGTTCACGTAAATATTGTCGTGTTAATTCATCGTAGAATGATTCAATATTGTAATCATAAAGTATTTTTGTTAATGTTTTTGTTTTAATTAAACGTTGTTTTAAATTGAGTTTTTCTATAATTGTATTAAATAAATGTAAAATTGTTTTTTGAAAAGATAATTTTTGAAATAAATCATTGATATAATTAATTAATATATTATTTAGATGAATATTTTCCATACATATCGACGATAAATCACGACAAATACGTTTTAATAATATTAAACAACGTATATGAACTTTACGATTACCCTGTAAATCGTGTATATTTAAACGATGCTCAAATGATTTTGAATAATAAGTACGTGCATACGTTAAAAGAATATTGATTAATGTATATAAATAAGATTGATGATTATTCAAAATGTTTTCAACTGACGAATAAAAATTTTTTCCCTCAATTGCATGACGATGTCTTAATGAAAGTTCATGTAAACGTTTGTTGTGAACACTGATGGGTGATGTTTGAATATTGGTTGTTACTAGTAATGTATGCATTAATTGTTGAGGTAATAAATCAATTAAAGTTTCAATAGTATTTAAAGCAAATGTTACACGATTATAATCATAGGGCTGTGTGTACAGTAAAATGTAAGCTAAATGAGAATCAATTTTACGTGAACGATCTATTGATTCAGATTTTTTTGTTGAATTACAATTTATCGGCAGAGATTCCGATTCATTTAAACATTTTAATGGTGTCATTGGTGGTTCTGATATACCGTCAATGGTAACAGCGTGCGGTATTGGACCCACTGAATGAGGTCGACGACTACTATTAATATTCATATTTGAAATCATAGTTGAATTTGTTAATTGAGAGTCAGCAAGAGAATCCGTTTCATGAGATGCATCTTCGTGAAGTGACGTATGCATTCGTAGAAGATTATTGCTACTACTTTTTGTACTATCACATTCAATACCGCTATTGATACGACTGAAAACTGTTGGGATTGTTGGTGCACGACGTTTCATTGATTTAGATGACGTTGTTGGAGATCCTGATCGGCTATTTGAAAGACTTGGCTGAGAAAGACTTAATGTTGGAGGAGGTTTCATTGCATCAGATTTCATCGGTTGTGGTGATGAATGCTTCATATGATAAACAACTTCGCCTGTATCAGTACAGCTTATGCCATATATCTATTGAACAAATTTGAAAAAAAAAGCAAAATTAATATTATTTTAATTTCCTATGAATCTTAATTTTGTCCAGACTGATGGTTTTCGAAATTTGGAAAATAAGCAAACTCCATTAGAACGAATTGAAAGAATAGGAATAAGGATTGTTAGAATAATAATTGTTAGAAGAAGAAAAAAAGGTAATAAAATATCTGGTCAGTAAATAGATTAAATGAATAGTACGCTATCTTAAAATTTAGTTTGTGATAAATCAAGTTTGTTAATCAATTGAAAAAATCTATCGATCAAATTTACTGATAGTCAATTAAATCGAAAGAATAAGCATAGAAACCCAAATAAACTATTATATTATCCACTTTTGATTGTTCCTTTGTCCATATAGTAATAGAACTATGTACGACATACATACATATATATATATAGATAGATAGATAGATAGATACTTCTTCTTTTGTCTTCGACTGTGACTTAACATTAGAGTTCCATGAGAAGAAATTCACACGCCATACAATCAGTTCTATCCAGAAGTATTTCGAAGTCACCAAAAGTGAACAATCAAGGGTCTTTATTATAGCCTTTGATAGAAAAAAAAACGAGGTCACTCCTAAATGTACGAAAATATGTTTGAAAATATTGATAGACCGGAAGCATCATATTGAAGATAGTTAATTAAAGCAGACGAAAGAAAATGTGACAATAGTTTACTATGGATACAATCGGACCTATCTTGCGTTTCATGCAGATAGTGATAAATGTAAAGCTGATGCTTTTGAACAAAAGAAAACAGTATTCGAATCTGTGTTCTTCCGGAATCGGTAAAAATTAAAATTTATTATTTGAAACGGGAATCCTCCTTATTTATTCAGTTAGATCAAACTGTTTACTGCTGAAAACAATGAGATGATGATTGAATAGTCTTTCTAATCGAAATACTACATTTTAATGCTATTGACTTCCGATATATCTACTTCCCGAAATAAGGTTTGTCAGATTTTACTATTAAAGCACAATAAATTTCATTTTTTTCAAAACATACTCGTTTTTCATCATCACTTTCTTCTTGTTCACCGTCGTCATCATCGAAATTTTCATCTTCATCATCATCATCATCGGCGCCAACATAATCATCATGATTTCTATCATCAATTAATACTGAGAACGTTATTTCATTGATATCACCAACACTGGTATCATCTGTATCATTACTAATATTACTTTCTTGTGCTTGAAAATTTGGATTATTTGATGATTGATCAGTAGAATTAAATAATCGAGTATGAAAGTATTCTTTATGAGCGACAGGATGCAGTTTTTGTACACTAATACGTGCTGTATCGGGATGCAATAACATTATGAGAATAACATCAAATATTCGATACATATCTCCTAGAAATTAAAATCAAGAAAATTTTTACAAGAAAAATTTCATTTATATTTACCATTAATAAAACAGTCAAATGTCCATTGCTGTACCATTGATCTTAAACAACGATTATTTGATTCATTAAGAATACTTAATACAATAAGTAAACACCGTTCAAATGTTTTACTTAAATGCCCATATGTTATAATAGATATGTCACGTGTTGAATTCCATAATTTAAAAAACCGTTTATATGCATCAATTATAATACATTCATTTTCATATTGTTTTATATGTGTCGATGATAATTGATTACAAATTAAATCTTCACAATCACCATTGGGCAACATAGAATGAAGCATCGATAATATACGTGATGCCTTTAAATTTAATTGTCGTTCGTATTTATCACTTAAATGTTCCCATAGATAGGCAGTAATATGTTGAAAGAAAAGTGTTTCGCTTATTAGTAATGATACTTGTTCTTGATTGAAGGATGGGATAATTGAGACATTTTCTGGAAGCGTGAGATTAGTTCCAGTGGTTAATTCATTTGAGTATTTATCAGATTTCGGATTGCAAATATACAATGTATAACCAAGTAATTCAATTAAAACAGATATAGCGGTTGTTTGAATAAAGAAATGACCACTTTCGCACACGGATAGTACACATAGATCAATAGACCAATCATCAAAATCAGTTTTACCTTAAAAAAAAAAGAAGAGCAATTAGTCGTGTTAGAAACAGATCTTATTATTAAAAATAAAATAAATTCAAACTCTATCAAAGTACTGAATCGACCGAAGCGCCTGTTGTACTATTTGAGGAATATAACGGAAGTACTCGAAGATTCGTATAAACTCAAATTCGATTAGCTTTTTAAGCATGGTTGACTGATTTTTAGTGTGCTCGTGAGTATTCAATTTCTCGGTTCAATTACTCCATTGCATAAATCAATTCTGAAATCGTTTCATTTAGCTGACTTCCACTGCCTTTTGTTAATTGACTTATAAAAAAGAAAGTCGTAATTCAAACCAAACTTCCAGGCCCGGTTGATGTGCCTAGTTATCCTGTAAATATTTGTTTCTAACCGAATATAATATTTATTATTAATGTTTTCATGATATTTCGAAGCGATAATCTACAATTATGCATGGCTGCAGTCGATTATTTTGTACAATACGATGGAGATCATTCAATATACATGCTATTCTTAGGATGGTATCTTTTTTGTAAATATCTTTCAATAATATATTGTGCATTCAAATTAAATTCATAGAAACTATAACGAAGAAGAAAACAGCAAATCTGCTACTTTTATCCTTACAAATATATATATATATACAATGGTTTGCAAAAAAAACTTGGAACAATCTCACAACATAAAGATTTAATGTTTTTTAGATTATCTCGAGTCTTTGTTTTGCGGTTATTGTAGATTTATACTAAATAGATTATCTACGAAAAATACTCGTATATCTGATGGGTTTCTATTTTATAGTTCTGTAATAATAACCTGATATAATCAAGACAGCCAGTCTAAAATCACATCAAATTTTTCTGATTACATTATTGGAACATCAGAATTTGCTCGAAGAAGAAAATCTACCGATATGCAAAGATAACATTGCCTACAATTGGATACCAAATTAAAAATCTCAGAACCCAATGCTTTCAGAAATATTGAGCAACTAATGTTTCGAAAAAAATGTGATTAATAACAAATACAACTAAAAATTAGGTCCATTTATTCGAGAAAATAATGAAGTACTTTAAAAAATGAACTGAAAAATGGCGCGAACAATGTAAATTAACGGTTTCCACGAGCTCAACCTCGCGCCATTTGAACCGTCTTAAAGATGAACATTAAAAAACTTTATAATCAAAATTAACTAACAGAAAAAAGATAGATATTCCTTGGTTATTGAAAAGAAAGCAGAATGAATCAAATATTGGATCAGATATTCTGAGACTGTACATTGATATGTATTAAATATAGAAACATTTTTTTGAAAGCAGCTAAAAAAGGCGTTAATATACGCTAAAGATTCGTTCCAAGTTCTTTTTGCAAACCATTGTAATTATATATATATATACAATGATTATTGGAGAATAATGTATAAGGCTCTTTTCTGTTGACGAATTAATAATGTTCAAGAAGAATATAGGAGAAACACTTTTTACTGCTCCTATGCATACTCATTTATTTATGAATTTCTTACATTTTATAGTAAATTCCGTAGATAGTTTCATGACTGATAAGAAAATAAAATCCAAATTTTGTTTCTATTATAAATTTAACGCTTTCTATATTATCTCTAATAATCTTTTTTCTTCTGCCCAAGGCTATTGGCAATAAATGCATCCGAATTCTGTTAATTCCTGACATTCGTCGATGTTTTTAATAGTTTCATTTGACCCGATATTTTCTACTTCGTTTAGCTTGCATAACGCATAAACATTACCCGTTATCAAATAATACACGAGTAGCATAAATTCAATTGGGCAAAATTATTCAATAGGCAACTTTTCGCTTTTTAAACATAATGAACGAGGGTTCATCGCAATTATGGTATATTACGAAACTTCGTATATTTTAATATGTGTGTCTGAACTCTGAAGAGCTATTTGTGGTTACGATATGTATACGTAATTAGAACAAAATAACATTTTTCTGACGAGCAAATATGGCTTGATTGTTACTATTACTTTTTTCAACTCGGCTAGAACACTTCATGCACGCCCATCAGCTTAACAATCACACTATTGTATTCAAAATTCAATTTTATATTTGATAGCGTGAGAAAGGGCGTTTCATATGTTAAGCCTTGCATTGAAAAAGAAGAAGACGAAGGAAAAAAAATGATTTTTCAGAGTCCATCATCGTGTGTTAATCTCAAGTCTATAGTATGTATTTAAACGCGGTATCAACGATCGACCGTAAGAAGGTTATCAAAGCATTTATATTCATCAATGTTAAATACTTTATTCTTCTTATCATTGCGAATGAACAAAGCCTTATGTAAATCGATGTCTATTGACCATTGTACGAGTCGATACGTATTAATCTTTTGAATTTGTTCTGGCGGAAAAGCAACGACAGCTGTATTATCGATTGGTCGGCCTATCTAATGTGCATCAGAGAGACGGCAGACAAAAAGAAAATGAATTCGTCTTATTCAATCTACGCCCCTTATTTGTTGTCTAGGATAGAAACAACAGAAACAGGAAACAAGGATTCATTAATAACAAAATGACGTTCTGTGCAATAAAAGAATTTCTCATCAATAAAATATCGAAGAAAGAAAATGCTTAATAATTAATTACCTTTTGACAGGGTTGATTGATCTGTTATTGAGGATTGTCTTTGAAAACAACAAAACTCAATAAGTAATTTACAACAATCGTCAAATGCACGCTTATAATAATCGACGTTGTCATTTAATTTTAACTGAAATTCATTTTGTGTTTGATAATGATTAAAAAGTGCTAAAATATTTTCGTTTGTCTTTTTTTGTGTTATTGAATGAATATTTTGAAATTTTTCATGCATCGTTGTTTTGTTATTATCAATTAAAAACGTTATTATAAATCGATGGAAAAATATTTTATATAATGTAATTGATTTTTCTAAATGATTCATTGATTGTAACATTGTTTTAGTTAATACTGTTGGTTTTGGTTGTTGATTTAATAGTTTTTTATTTTCATCATTTACTTTGTTTATCTGTTTTTCAACTTTACGTACCATATGACGAAGAAGACGCTCAATATCATGTAAAGACTGTTGTTCATTTATTACTACAGACTCTTCTAATTCATTTGTAGTCGATGTAGATGTAAATTGATTATTTGTATCAGTTGAATTGTCATTATCAGTATAAGATGTATGTTCAAGATTTGTTTCCGTATAATAATCATCGTCATCATCGCCACCTTCATCGTCGTCATCATCATCATCATAATCACTATCAGTTAAATTTTCGTCAAAAAGATTCAATATCGATTGATTTCGTTCGGACAATGATAATATATCGTCACTTGTTGTACGATGAAATATCGATATACGATGCGTTGAATTTGTTGGCACAACTTTCTTTAAAATTTTTAATAAAACTTCAACACACAATGTTAATTGATCTGCTGTAAATTTACTAATATTATTATTCATTGTTTTTATAAGATGATAGAGCATTTCAGGTAAATGCTCAGATTGAATATCAGTCGTGGAATCTAATGCAGCAGTATCAAGTAGCATATTTATTATTCCACACAATTGTTCTATTGTAGATCCTGCAGTCATTACCATTTGATCGTGTTGTTCAGTTACAATTATATCAAAATTTTTCGTTAGAAATTCCCATATAAAATATGGTTCAAATGTATCAAGAAGCATATTCAATGTTTTCAATGTTTCAGAACGATGATTCTCTTGTTGAGCATTTATTGATGTCAATTGTTTAGCTGGTAAATAAATCTGATGATAGACAACTAATAGATAACTCATTAGAACATATTCGATTATATTTGGACCAACATCAGGTTTATCAACTAAATAAAATATGAAAATGGTTGGTTCTTTTTTTCTTTCGGAAAAAATTTGATGTAACGATTTGACCTATGAAGTACGGCAAATAGTGTAAGTGCTATGGTCATTAGGATATCTTGAGTGTACTATTCTGGGAATTCGATCCTTACAAAACAAAATGTCAACTATTTGATAAGAAACTAGGACGGTTAATGTATGAAAGACATTCTTTCTCTCCTTCTGTTACACGCATAGTTGTTATTGGAATGTAAACTATACTCTATAATGGTGTACAAGGCTAGACAAGGACAAAAACTATTTCTGTTTCGCAACTAATATTGTTTAGTTATATTTGTCCGATTCGAGTACGTACTATTAGAAGATGAAAAGGGTAATATGATTGGATATAAAAAATTGTGGTAAAATTTCTGGATTTATTAACTAATTACTGACTGTCACACAAGTCAATTAGAATATATCAATAAAATGTTAGTATTCAGTTTCTTGTCTTCGGGTCCTATAGAAATTGATCTTTATCTGGAAGAAAATAACAATACCTATCCATTAGTATTTATTATGTAAGACAGAAGGATATATTCAAGTCTTAAAAAATATTAATCCTCATAGTATGCTAACATTATGGTGCAATGACTTTAAGCTTAAATCTTTTAATCTATTCGTTTCGATGAAAGAAAATCATTTAAAATTCAATAAAAATGAATATATATATATATATATTTAGTCATACCGAGAATAATAAGCACTCGTATTAATTTTATCAATGTCCATGTCGATGCCATTGATTCAACAATACTTGCTAGTGATGCACTATTTTCATCGGGTATCATTTGCTTTGATTTCATTGTTGTTGATAATGTATTAGAAGATATTGTTTCGAGAGCATGTAAGAGAGATTGAATTAAATTTTCTTTTGTATATTGAATAAAATAGGACGATGAATCGAATGGATCATTTGTTACAGCTAATGAGGTTGTCGATGAGTGTATTTCATTTATATTCTGCTGTTGAGTTGTATTATCAAGAGGTGATTGTTCTGTACCAAGAAACCATACATATATACGTCGGTTTAATGACATATCACGTTTTAATAGTACATGCAAGGCGACCGTTATTATTTTCATCAGATCAATTTTAGTTAATTGTTTATTGTGCATTGGTAAACATACAAGAAGAAAATCAAGTATAGAACGTTGAACTAGTGATTGTTCACGATCTTGCAGACATATACATACAGCGGATACCTGAATGTAATAAAATGAAAAAATAATAATAATAATAAGATTGTTTCTATTCGAAAATTTTATTTACCATCGTTTCAACAGATGAGCCCATTAAATAAAGTTGATCTTCCATAGTTTTTCTTTTGTCAAAATGATTTAATATAAATGTCAATGCTGAGTGTCTTGCTGCGGCAACTAAATTTGTGGCTGACCATATACAAGTATAAAAATAAAATTTATCAATTCGATTTGATAGATTATCAAGTAATGCGTATATTCTATCATAATAATCTGCGCCTTCTTCTAATGCTGGAAATAATCCAAGTAAAAAGCCAGTTAGAATGGGATTGAGTGCTTCATCTAATGGTAGAAAATATGTTTCATATAATGTTAGTAGAACAGGTTTAACAGGTAATGCTGCTGCTGGCAATAGTGGAAATAGGCCACATGAATATATGATAATATCTCGTTGTAAATTTCGTTTTCCGATCATACGAAATATAGTTTCATATACTTCAAGCGTTTTCAAATGAACACCAGATGGTAATGCTGGATGAAGACATTGTGCAAGACGTTTCGATAATGTTATACGCTTAGGTATTGATAAAAATTTAGGATAGCTTTCAATAGTCTATACATAAGAATGAATGAACGAACAAATAAACAAAACAAAAGTCGTAGGTTATTTTTTTGTTCTTCTCACCTTTTTTACTTTGACCAGATTAGTTATGAGATCAGCCCATTCTGATGAATATTCGAATTGTTTCAGAACTCTTTCTAAGTTGGCAATAAAATTTTTATAACGACCATCATTTAACAAGGCTACTTCATCACTAGGCATTAAACTCATGGTGTATATTGAAAACAATAAATTTTACTCGTTGATTTCAATCAAGGTACAAACAGAGTTATATTTAGAAGTTAATAATTACGTGCAATATATATTATTATTGGATTCGTACGAATGGGACGAGCAGGTAGACCTCAACATTTAATCGTCGTTATAAATGGGATGGGAGAAAGAATCGAACGGTCTACGTCGCTGATGAATCATGTGTTATTTAGCATATTTTATTGGCGAAAGAATTTAACCAATGACAAAACAATGTTTTTTTCTGCACGTCACGTTGCTTTTGACTCATTTTATTGTCAATTCCTTTTGTCAATGGCGTGTATATAAACATTTCGATATTTTTTTTATCTTAACTATTTAATCTTGTGTCATCGAACTATTCTTATTATTGTAAAGAAAAACTAAAAATAAAACAAACAATGTTTGCCACCCAAGTTCCACCTACATGGTTTATATTTATTTATTTTATTAGTTTTATTTCTCAAAAACAACAAATTTAATTCTTTAGGACTGATCGTGATTCTTGTTTTCGCTGTCGTACAGCATTTTCAGCATTTACTCGTAAACATCATTGTCGAGCATGTGGAGAAACATTTTGTTCAATTTGTATGTTTGATGATATTTGAGATATTTTTATTTTCAAAAATATTTATTTGTTTAGGTTCATCTAAATCAAGTTCACTACCAGAACTTGGTATTGACGATGAAGTGCGAGTTTGTGAATCATGTTATGATCGTTTATCAACGTAAATTTTCTAATATAATATCTAAACAAAAATGAATACTTTTCTTTTCCTTAAGGACTGGGAGTATGCAATCAACACGATCATCCGTACCAGTATCAACAACAAATAAACCGAAAGGAAAAAGTCAAGCTGAACTGGATGAAGAAGATGCTCTTCAATTAGCAATATCATTATCACAAAGCGAAGCTGAAGAAAAAGAACGCCAAAAGAAATTACTAACACAACAATATGCAATGTCAAATATTCAATTTCCTCCAACACCGTTATGTTCAGCACCAATGGCTGATCAGGTATTAAAAATTCTATTTACTCAAGAATCAATATCAATTTCTGAAGGTTGAAATTTATCTAAAACATGTGTTTATACAATCGTAAAGATCAAGATTTGTGATAACCTTGGTGTGTATTTTTTTTTATAACAGGATGATAACGAACAAAAAACGGTCGGCGGTGAATTAGCCAAATACTTAGACCGAAATTATTGGGAAGGTCAAGTATCAAAAGATCTTGGAACCATAACAACAATTAAGACAGTATATTTGTCAGTTGATAATAGACATTCAACGGATAACTTTTTTTTTCTATCATTGCAGGATCCATTAAATAGTTTTGTCGGTGACGATGACATTGATGCATTTATTAGTTCTGCTAATGAACATATAAATAATATTAAATTTCGTATGTTGAGTAATCAACAACGGGGTCGTAATATTGCTAATGATACAGCTGTACAATCTGTTTTTTTTATTCTTCAACACATGCATCCTGAATTACATTATTTTATAAAATCACTTGATAACAGACAAGGTTTCAAATTTTTCTAAGAAAATAAAAATGATTACTAAAATCTATGATCATTTGTTTTTAGCCTATTATGAAAGTTTACAAGATAAATTAGGCCAATTAAAAGATGCACGAGAAGCATTGAATGCATTACGTGACGAACATCTTGAAAATAAAAGACATCAAGCATTTGAGCGTGAAAGACAACGTCAAATACAATTAGCTGTTAAACTTGATGATATGCGTCAGAAGAAACAAGTAAATAAAAACGCAAATTCATAAATTACTCGTGTACATTATAACTTAATTAGGCTTATTTGGAATATCAAAGACAAATACATCTACAACGTCTTGCTGAACAAGAAGCTGAAATGCAAGCACGTCTTGATCAACAGCGATTTTATACTCAACAACGTGAACAAAAAAATCAAGTATAAAGTTTCTTTTTCTTGTGAGAATGAAATAGCTCTTATTTCGCTTTTAAATTAGATTCCCTATGTTCAACCATCGCCATCTGTCGGCTACTATCCACATCATCAATATCCCGTGCTTTCATCTCAGTTAACGTCATGTACATTCTCGATGGGGCGTAAGTATATAAAATTAAAATAAAACGTCAAGAAAAGTTTTCGCTATCACAATGGATGACATTTTATTTTTAATCTAGCTTTGTCAGACGCTTCAATGCAACCTGTTGCAGCTCCATTATCTCAAATGCAACAACCATATGCTGTACATCCACCGATTCAATCAAATGAACAAACATTAATTTCATTCGATTAAAGAGAATAAAATAAATCAACATTCGGTTTTCTTTTCTTGTTCAGCTTTTCTTGTTGTATAATTTCGGTTCTTGTACGTTATTCATGCTTCGGAATAATATCCTATATCGCACAGTGAGAAAATGGTATGTACCTAGCTTCTGTTGTAAATTTTAATTCTTTGAAATATATATAACAAATAATTATGGGCTAAAATTCAACACCAAATTTGATCTATCAAAGATAATGGTCTTACAATTAAATTAGTTTAATTGAAGGTATCTTCAAATAACAAGTTACATAAATGATGAAATATTTTCTCTTAACTAGATTTGTTATACATACTTTTTCCTTTCGATTATAAAATTTGAGTATAATGAATTCATGCTCAAGTAAGTTTTTATACATTTTCAGAATATAATTAAGATTAAGTGGCTTAAACTTTCTGTCAGGGACCCATTCATTTAGTTAAACTTCAATAAAAACTTGCTGTAAGCAACCTAGATCGATCATTATGACGACTAGATACGGCTGTATTTTAACATTTTTGTATGCACCGTATATCGCAGTGTCGTATACGGCAGAACACTGCGACTGTTTAGAAGTCGTATCCGATCGTATACGGCCGTATCATAAACAGGAAACGACCAAGCACTACAACGTATACGACCGTTTACGGCCGTAATTCTGAACAAACAGAAAAATTCATTCATAAACCCCTCCGATTGATAATGACCACACTACAGGCATTAGTTCTACCACATTTCCATAGAAATCACACTAAAAAAATGCAAGCAGCCAAAAACCAACTCTAAATCACACCGAAAATCACAGAAATCATACTTCCAACAGATCTTTTCGGAACACTCTCTATACCCTAACTCTACCGAGAACACCTAAAGCTAACTCCCTATGATTTCCCGTACATCAACCAGCAAAAATCATGACAAATCTAAAACAACACAAAAAGCACCGAACAAAACTTGCTAAAATCACCTTCGAAGAGATATACCCACGAACCACGAATTAGGACTTTAACTATCGATATAGGAATTCAAGGAAATCAAGATTTTCTGAATGACTCATCTCCACATTAAACAACAATAACGAAAATATAGCGATTCAAGGAAATCAAGCAAATGCAGGAATTCCTTGAATCGCTACATTTTCCTTATGGTTGTTTATTGTGAAGATGAGTCATTCAGAAAATCTTGATTTCCTTGAATTCCTATATCGATAGTTAAAGTCCTAAATCGTGGATCGTGGGTACTGCTGCCTTCGAATGAAGTATAGTAGAGAATCGTGGGTAGCAGCATTAGATCTAGAGCATCAAGTGATCCTTATTAGATGATTTCTGTTTTATTCTGCAGTAAGGATCACGAGAAATCTGAAAAATAGAAAAAGCATCAGAGAAATCCTGCAAAAATCACCTTTTGGAGGAAGCATCGTAGAGAATCCTGGATAGCAGCATTTGATAGCGAGCATCTCGAGATTGATATTGGATGATTTCTGATCCATTCTAGAACAGGGATCATGAGAGATCTTGAAAATAGAAAAAGCATCAGAAAAATCCTGCTGAACTAATCTTTTGAAGAAAGCATTAGTCAAGATCATGATAAAAAATACCAAAAATCAGATATAGGGTTATAAAAGTAATAGCACGCATGGAAATCGGTGCTAAAATTAGAAGAATCACTAAAATCTCCTTTATGTTTTTTACGAAATTGGATTTTTCCGATCGTAGATATACCTGTAAAGATTGCCTTTTTTTTTAATTGAGTTGATTGCTTTAGTAGTGGTTAACAGCAATTCGTTATAGGAATATGTTCTGTATCGATCAGCTTCAAAGTTTAACTAGGTTGTAAGGGAAAACGATGTTTTTGTCCGATTTAATGCGAAAAGTCAAGTGGAATTTGCGGATCTTTCAGGCAGAAGGGTTCTAGAGGTCATACGGAACCTATGTATTCTGCTGTTTCGAATGAATATGTATAGGATTTCTCGAATGTTGTACATTCAAGCAACTGTAGTTTTTGATTTGCAGCTGAAACCGTAAAAAATGATTTTTGCTCGAAGTCTGGTTTTTGATAGAAACCGGCTTTGACGAGCTTAAGTGGCATTGAAATGAAGCATAAACAGCTTGTTATAGGTGAATCTGAAGAGTTGACGATAGAGACCTGCGAAGTCAATTTTTTTTATTCCGAAACCCGACTCCGACTCCGAAAACATTTTCGTTTCGCTGCCTCCGACTCCAACCCCCGACTCCAAAAATTTTTATTTTCTGACTCCGACTCCGACTCCAGAAAACTCCAAAATTTTATTATTGAAACGGGCAATCTCTGATACAATAGTCGAAAGATTATTTTCAGTTTCAAAGAATACTACATCGGAAAAAAGAACCAACCTACATTCCGAAAATATCAACCAAAAGTTATTTTAACAAGAAATTTAACTTTGTTGAAAGAGCTCTTCTGTGAGAATGGAAGAACAAGAACCATTTCAATGTCATCAACAACCACAGCCTCATCTGCAGATTCTATATCAATATCTATTATGCCCAAGCAATCAAAATCTAATGATGAAGACAATTATAGTAGTTTGGATGATGCTGAAATATTTCTTGATTCATGATATGTTTTTATTAAGTTCATCTCTCGAATTTTATAGCTGCAAGATGATTAGTTTCTTCTTTTTTGTCCTGAAACTCATTTTCAATATATGAAATAAGTGATGCCTTTGTTTTTTTTGCCTCTCACAATATGAAAAATAAAGATATTGTTGCATAAAATAGCAAAATTTCATCAGACATAATTATAATTCTGACTCCGATTTACTCCGAGAAGTTTTTCAAAAAAATTGACTACGACTCCGTCGGGATCGGGTTTCCCCGCAGGTCTCTAGTTGACGAGGTTGATAAAAGATCTCGTGAAGTTAGAATAATATTTAGTTAAAAGGTGGGGCACGTCATGTCTTCTGTTCTTACCCATAACGTTCAAGATGCAGAAATCCTGCTTTTGGATTTTTTCAGTGAAAGTGAGCCGTAAATAATAGGGTTTTGTCGCAGATGCTCTATTAAGGATGGAAACAGATGATTTATGATATTTCTCGTTGATAAATGATGAAAGACTGAAGAATCCTGGAAATGTGTCAGAAATCGCAAGCAGAAATCATAGAAATAATAAAGGAGCTCTCAGATTATTGTGGAGTATAGAGTTTTGGTTTGTGAATAAATTTCAGTGTTATTGTGTTAATATCTAGCTGGTTTTATAGTTGTTTAATAAAGTAGCCAGACGTTGCATCGCTTTTGCGCTGTAGCATTGGCAATGATTTGTCAGTTGAGGCAGTATTTCTTGGTGTTTCTATGATTTTTTCATCTTAACTATTCAAGTTTCGAATAGGGGATATGTCTGACGTGAGAGGCTTGTACCAATAGTCCGACTCTTCACGATAAAACGATCGACGGACGTTGTTGTCATATAAGCTGGAATGAATTGTATCCATAGTAAGCTCTATAGTTCGTGATTTATGAACTGATTTATGAGTATGCTCCGGAGTATTTCAGAAATTCGCCACCGAATTTCCGAGTTTTCTGCACAATAGAGAATTCTGACAGTCTTATGCTTTATTTTGATGTTCTATCTGTCTATTCCTCATGTTTAAAACTGAGAAAAAAATCTCATTTAAATGAGTTTGTTGGCATAAAAAGCGATGAAAATTAAAGTATTTCTGTCTGATGGAAAATAAAATTGATATAAAAACTAGCTAAATTTCTGATGACAGATAACAGATTATTCGATTTTTTTATGGGTGCCCCCTCCCTTTTCGGGCGTGATAAATGTTATTTTTCTGATTTTTTGTTTTTCATTCATACTTATGCCGTGCACTATGTTCTATCGATCTGTTAAAAAGATCCTTCCTTTGAACGCGTTTAGGCCTTAAAAAGAATGATTTCTGAGACGCCCTACCGGGAAAAAACTCCATTTTTGCACTTTTTGTGAAAAAATCCGTCTTAACATTTAATCTACTTGTAGTTATTCTGATTTTAGCGTATGACCTCGTCCAAGGAGCGTATCAAGATGCGTATGACCTCGCCGAAGGAGCGCATCAAGATACGTAGGACTTCGTCCAAGGAGCGTACCTAGATGCGTATGACCTCGTCCAAGGAGGGTATCAAGATGCGTGAGACATCTTTCGACTTCAGCTAGAGATAAACGATCGAGTTTAGTAGTGGTAAACTAAGAATCTAAATGAATCCCGTTGCATGTCTTTCATCAACCATTCATCATCTGACAACAGCTTTTCATCCTCTATGATCTGTTTATTCCCTTCTCTCTGAAATAGACATGAAATACACGTGAAGATGGGATGAATTTCAGTCGATATGCTGTTTATATCTGTTTGCTTGTATGACACAGACATCAACAAAAGTAGTTTCTGGACGTAGAAAACAAGTCGATCGAACGCGCAGTAGTCGAAAACCTACAAACAATTAGAAAGGATAAAAATAATGGGTATTCAGAAAAAACTTGCAATTGAATTTTGTTTCGCGTTTTACTCAAAATCAAATTTTAAGGAGAAAAACTAGTGTTTCGTCCCCGTTTCTCCAATATGGTAAGAGTGATCGAGCTGAAACTTTTTCTACATATACTAGTCACCATTTTGGATGGGGATTTGTTTTTATTCCAAAAAATATTACACTGGTGGGTTTTGGCAACTTTCACTAAAACTGCACTAGTAAAACAACAGTAGTTTTTTTTAGGGTACATCCGGTATTTTGACCTTTTTACAAGTGGGAAATCTGCTGTTTCCCCCTTGCTTTTTTATCTAAAGGACAAAAAATATAAGGAAATCCAAAACACTACCCACCACAAACAGTGTCCAGTGTTTGTGAAAAACGTTTCAATTCGATCGAACATTGGGCCTCTGAGAAACGGGGACGAAAAGTTGGGTCATTTTTATCGATTGCGACTCCAATATTTCATAAAATACAGCATTTGTGAACTTGGATTCTAGCACAACTTTTGA